AGCTCCTGCGTTAAGCGTCTGCCCCCTGGCAGTCAGTGCATGTCATAGCGACCAGTAGTTCTGCCGTTCAGTCGATTCAGTCAATTTGCATATTAGCCCTTTATTATATAGGATAGCGCCCGAAAGATAAATATAATTCCACTGAATTATTATAGTAGCAATGTGAACATCTGAATGCCCTACATCTCAACTGAAACTAGCAAGCACATGAATTATTGCTCTTTGTGACTTAGGGCATATCCTTACCCTAAAAGAAGCCTGTTTCTTCTTATTGCTGGGCATCAAACTGACCTGCTGACTGCTATCACTTACTAGCAGTATATGAAGCCTCTTGCCTTATATTCAGATATGCTTAAATTTCTCTCTCTCTCCGTCATCTGTAGTGACAGTTTGGATGATAAAATGGTTACTGAATTTTCCAAACATATCCAGTTCATTTGTGTCATGTTTTAGATTCTTCTTCCCCCTTCAGTGCAGAAAAGGAGCTACAAAACCATTTAACACATTGAAGTAGTAATTATCTCCCAGTACACTGAAGGTGTGAAGGCAACTCCCAAAGTGACATATAATTCAGTGAATGTTTTTGCCCTGGAATAACCTCTACTTTGTCTTCCGGTTAAGTATGAAGGTATGATGTCCATTTTAGAATGAAGCAATTTAGGGATTGAAATACAACATTACCTCTTGATTGAAATACAACATTAAATTATAGAGCATTTTCAAAATATCTTAGTATTTTAAGTTATTAAGGTGAAGGGCTGGACTTACCAAATAATTGGCACCATCCAGGGTATGAAAATTCTGTATTTAAATCAATAACTGGTCAATAGCAAGGAAACAACTCACTTTTAAAATTGGCAATAACTAAATTTTTAAAAAGTATGTGTAGTTAAAGTTTTTAATTAAATTTACTTTTCCGCCCTAGCTGGTTTGGCTCAGTGGATAGAGCGTCAGCCTGCGGACTGAAGGGTCCCAGGTTCGATTCCAGCCAAGGGCACATGCCTGGGTTGCAGGCTCGATCCCCACTAGGGGGCGTGCAGGAGGCAGCCATCAATGATTCTCTCATCATTGATGTTTCTATCTCTCCATCCCTCTCCCTTCCTCTCTAAAATCAATAAAAATATATTTTTTTAAAAAATTACTTTTCCAATTTGTATAGAAGAGAATAAGAAGGAAAAGTGCATGTCTGACTTAATATAGACTTCATCCAAATACTCGGATCTTACAATTGCTAAAAATTTTATTAAACTGAGTTTGGTAGTAGATTCTTTAAATTCAAATTATATTAGAACTAGTCACAGAATTAGATTTGGGTTATTCAGCTTGTAAATGAAGCAATTAACATATTTTTTTTCTGGATGAATGCTAGCTGCTCCCCTTTCTACTTACCTTCTCTCATGCTTTCCATCACAACCCTACTCACCTCTCTCTCTCTCCAAAAACAGTATAGATAAGAATTAAGGTAACTGGACACTTAGTCCCCCCATTGGCAATCTTCAGTAAGAAAGATTCAAAATGCCACACCTTTTCCTTACATAACAGTGGGGGATGGTGAAGTAATATACTTAGTCAAACATAATTTGTTGTCTATGACTGTGAACCTCTTCTAAAACGTCCTCTCTTCAAGTATGTATAACATATAGAATATATTTCTAACTGAAAGCCCAACTTTACTTAAATGGGTAAAACTACTTGCACAGCCAACCCTGTGTATACGTTAACCATATACTCGAAGGGGTTATTTCAATTTCCAATGTAGTAGAGAAACTAAATGTGCTTTTACTTTCTAATCTTCACATCAAATCAAATAAGCACATGTTAAACTCTGCTGTAATACTAGTTTATTGTTACATAATATAGTTCCTGTTGGCATCTACAAACACCTCCCAATATCCTGCAGTGTTGCTAACTATAATTTAGAGCAGCGATTTTCAACCTTTATATCTCATGGCACACATAAACTAATTGCTAAAATTCTGCAGCACACCAAAATATATACTTTTTGCCAATCTGACAAAAAAAAAGGACAATTTTGATTCTTTCACACTGGAAGGCTGCTGTGTTGGCTGTCATTTTTTTTTTTTTTAATTTGACCATCTAAGGGAAAAGAGTTCAGTCAGTGCCCCTCACTAAATATTCAGGTATTGCATGTTTTACAAATTCGTACAGCACACTGGTTGAAAATCGCTGATGTAGAGTTAAACCTCTAAATTGGAAGGTCCACAGGTCCACTTAACTATGGACATACCTGAAAAACAGTAGCAGCCAAAAAACACAACCTTTCTCAGGGCAAAGGTGTTTTTCTTTCCTATTTCTCCTTTCCATTCGGTCTTTAACTAAAAGGTGATCATCTTATACTTTTCAATGCCCTTGATCCAAGCAAAGTAGGTGTTGGAAGGCAGCTGAGCAATCAACTTATATTCTTGAATCTGATACAAAATAACCAAGTGTGGAGAGGCTTATAGTAAACTCAACCTCCAAAGCAAACTGTGTCACACACATAGTATGCTTTTCAACATCCAGAAACATTTATTTTGAAAGCCAGTTGTCCTCATTTTCGTGATGCCATTTTCCATAACTGTTTCACAGAAACCAGCAGTATACTGCATTCAGAAAGAGAAGCAATCCTTTATTTTCCCTTTTAAAAAGAAAAGTATCTAAGCCTACTTCTGGAAAAGCACCTTCTGTCATACATTTGTCTTTCTGCTTTAAAGAAAATAAAATTTGACCAAAAATGTATAGTAATCAGTATTGAATTTACACATAAATAATTACCATTTTTTAAAGTTGCAGGGGTATATTCATTATTTTTCAAACGCAGTAACAAAGAGAAAAAGAACTGCGACTTCAACTAATAAATTACATCTTTAAATATACATGACTCTGTTGTCCCCATGTTACTCGCAATGGTAACTGACACGCCCCGAATTTAACTGTACCAGACAGTTCTATCTGTCCCATCGCTGACCAAACACTGCTTCTCTGTTTCTATTCATTATGTATTATAAGAGGTCTAAACACAACCCAGTATGATGAGAGAAAAAAAATTACAGTTCTTATGACAGCAAAGTGATGCATTCAAGATCTCTTTTGCACTACATACTACATCCCTGTCCATGAGCATTAACAGGCATTTTTTGATAGAGCTGCAAGCTCATTACACTGAGAACCTTCGGCACCCTTTCCTGCAGGTTTTCAGAAAACCCTTGGGGTTGGGGGGAAAAACAGGCACCATTCAAACCTTGCAAACCAAACTTGCCAAGAATCTTGTGCAATGATCAATAACCTTGGCAACACTGCCATCAGCCCCAAATTCACGGTCCTGGAGACCAATGCAGCAAAAAAGCCAAACGAAAGCCTAGCTGAAGCCCAACAGAACTGCCGCGCTTCCCCTCGGCTGCCCCCTCTGCCGCATGGAGAGAGGCAAGGGGAGGAGAGAAGTCGAGGGAACCTCACCAGCTTCGAAGATGCTCCCGTGACCTCTGGCTGCGCGGCGGGTGCTGGGCGAGGAAGGCGCTAGTGCCACCGCGGCGGGCCCTGTGGACTATGCCTCTGGTGCATTCCTCGCATTCCTGCACAATCTGTCGCCAGCCCCGGAGCCCGTGGCGTCCGCATGGAGAGAGGCAAGGGGAGGAGAGAAGTCGAGGGAACCTCACCAGCTTCGAAGATGCTCCCGTGACCTCTGGCTGCGCGGCGGGTGCTGGGCGAGGAAGGCGCTAGTGCCACCGCGGCGGGCCCTGTGGACTATGCCTCTGGTGCATTCCTCGCATTCCTGCACAATCTGTCGCCAGCCCCGGAGCCCGTGGCGTGCGTGTCCCCCACCCCCACCCGCACACACACAC